GCACTGCTGCACAGAGGCTGGCTCTATCATCCTGGTATCCTCCTTCAGGTCTGGTCCAGCTGATGCTCCCTGAAGCCATCTCTTCTCCAGGCAGAACAAGCCCCTGTCTCTCAGCCTCTCCTTGTAAGACAAGTATTCCAGTCTCCCCCCTCTCGGTCTACCAAGTGCCAAGTCAAGTGGCACATTTCTTGGTCTGGTGGCTGTGCCAGGCACACCACTGGCCCATTCCCAGCTGGCTGGGCACCCCAGGCCCTCTCCTCAGAGCTGCTCCTCTGCCCACCAGTCCCCTCCTGCACTGCTGCAGGGGCTCTGCCTTCACAGGTGCAGGACATGCTATTTGGCCCCATTGAATCCCACACAGCTCCTGCCAGCCCATTTCCCCAGCCTGCCTCGGGCCCTAGGGGTGCCAGCCCTGTTCCCCCAGTTTGGTGCCATCTGCAAACTTGACAAAAGCATGCTCTGTCACCTCCTCCAGGTCTGAAATAGAGATAAGGTCATTTTGCCCTCATACCAATACTTGTAACAAAGCCATGACCAAACCATTTACAAAAACTTGACCCTACAAAGAGAAGCAAGGCAAGGGCTAAGTATAGAAACAGCACTGGCAACCACACTGGATGTCTGGTCAGCTTGGTCTTACTGCGGCCAACAGCAAAATCTTCTATCTGTATTTTGTCTTTAAATAGAGCTGTAAGGGTTAAGATAAAACCAAAAGATTAACCTACAACTATGGCTTAGTTCTATAACCCCAAAGCTTCCTGAAAGTTAGCGTATAAACAAACATACATTTTGTATTCAATATGGTCTCACATATTTACACGCTGTAAAATATACTCATATGTATAGAGTTTTTTCAACCATACAAATGCATGCTGGCCATTAAACCTACCATTGGTGACAGATCCCTTTCTTGTGCTTTTCAAGGAGACATCACGTTTTGTCATTGACTGAACAGTCCAATCTATATTTTACAACAGAGATTCAGGTAAGTTTCAGCATCATCAAAAGTTCAGGATTTATTTGTGTCACAGTGATTTCTTTACAAGATGTAGTTTCTACCTGGTTTATGTAGGTCTCTAATTCAGTCACAGGTAACGTAAGTCCTAAAATGAGGCTGTTGGAGAACCAGAAATGTTTTAAACTGATTTATTTCTAATTGACTAGATTTCATGTTGATTGTACTCCTGTAAGACCTAATTAAGTGAATTCATTACCATTTATAATTTTATGATTTTGGAGATTCCAGCCATGGAAATTATTACAATCTAATCAAGATATGCAAACCAAATCTAAAAGCACTTTAAAAAAAAAGTCTCAGTTGAATCATGATATAAAATATACCTAATAAAAAACAGCACCTCTTGAACTCCAGGCATACTACTATCAATTTCTGCCATCAAGAAAGTAGTAAAAGTTCTTACTGAACATTCCATAGGTATCGAGCAGCTGCTGATACAGGATTTCACAGCCAGAAACCTTTGCGATGACCACCCACATGGGAGCACGTGTCCCTAGGAGTGAAGACGAGTGATGCCCAGGAATACCATGCTTGAAAGGACTCCTAGTTTTCTATAAAACTGGGGGCTGGGGTGACCCTATAAGACACACTCTTCACTTTGCTTGACTTTTTCCTATATTGCTGCTCAAATACTTCCATGTGTATTGCTAATCTGAACAATTTCTATGCAAAGCTCATTTCCTAACACTTCTGTTGATGCTGTTAGAGCTACCTATTCCAGCACCTCATTATAAGAGAAGAACAACGTCTAGGCAGCTCTGCTTACCGTGTGATGCAGCTGTGCAGGGAAGGAAATAATTAAGCCCATCATGTGAACCAAATCCTTCAGGACATACACGTTAATGAGATTTACTGAGCCCATTCTTAGCTGCTTGCAGGAATGAAGGAGGCAGAGACAGAGCAAGAAAAGCCCTCCTTTTCAGCATTAATATAAAACAAGAAATATATTTTGTTCAATTTACAGTTTTAACTGAAAGAAGCATTAAAAAGTGATTTGCCATTAGGTTTTACGGCTGCTTAACGTTCTCCCATGGATTTTATTTAGTCTGCCTCACAGGTGTTTTTTATGTTTTTCTTTTATTTTCTTTACACTTGCCATCACTAGCTGCTTCACTTCAAAAGTCTTCCCCACACCTTGGTTAATTTATACTCTTCTCCACATATTTTTTCAGCCACACATGGAGAGTGACCACTCCTGCCCTTTTCATGTACTGGAAACATATCAGAGTTTAATTTTCTTATATGCTTTCATTTTTACTTCATAATTTTGACACTTCTCCTGTCTCTCAAGTCACAGGGAGCAGCCACCAGCTCCTCGCCAGGTTTCTGTATGAGATTTTGAGTTGTCTCCTAACTTTCCACCCAAATAGGTCACCAGGGACTGCTCTCTCCTAGCGCAAACCTGCAGCTATCAATACAGCTGCATTTCCTACTATTATAACTTGCCTTTTCTTGCCATGCACCTACATGAGAGGCACACTAAGCACCAGAGCTTCACCACCCTTGCCTTGGCAGGAGGACCAGGGATGGCCCTCAGACCATCTCTTCTTGCAGCAGCAACCAGGCTGCTGCCTTGGCTGCCCACACCCATGCAGGTACCCAGGGTGCAAGGCTGGATCCCCTACCTTCTAGCCTGAGGAAGACTCACTGAATCATAGCAAGTCAGAAAGACTACATACAAAATAATGGTTTTCTATATTAAAAAAAGAACCAAATATGTATATATAATTACAGTATTTTGTATAGTGTAATAAAGGCTGTTAAATATGTATAAATGCATTAAAAAAAAAATAAAAAATCCACACACAAAAAAAAAAAAAAAAAGAAAAAAATCCAAACCAAAACAACCCAACCCTAACCTAAAAACTCAAACCCAGAGATAGATATGTGCAATAAAGACCTATAATAATATTAAGAAAACCCCAGAACTGGGATGAAAGTTCCATTTCACTAACTACTCAAAGCCCGTAAAGCGCAGAGGAGTGTTTACAGCCTATATCAAACATCACTGTCACTTCTGGCTCTCACGATGAGACAGCACAGCGTACTCAGTCATGAATGTCTGCTCTTCACATCTGCAGTGACTGTGACTGCTATGAATGTAAATAGGAAAGAACATCAAAAAAAAAAAAAAAAACTTAAAAGGTAAGCAAAGAACATATACAATTACACCTATATTTTAAACTATATTTCAGTATTTATACATTATGAAAGCTATTTATGAGTTCTTCCTTATGCTTCAGATTTATTTGAAAGGTAGTTCAGCCATACATTGATGGGGTCTTTCTGTTTCTAACAAAGAGTTTAGAAGTGCTGAGCAAATAATTGAGCAACTGAAGTTTATTTTCCTGCTTTTAGAATTATTTCACATATTTTCTTTCACAAACTACACTTACTCACTTCGGTATCCAAATCAAATAGATACATCCCTTATCAGGGAGTGACAGTGTGGGCTCTGATGGATTATTTTGGTCATGCTACAGACCAAAGATCAGTTTGACTCTTGAAAAGGTCCTAACCACAACTGCAAACTCACTTAAATGCTTCAGATAATAAAACATAATTATTCACATCAACTCAACGCAGTCAAATACGATACTTAAAATCCAAATTTGCACACCTGTTTCTGTATCATTACCTTTCTCTTTTGACTGGCATAAGTATATATCTTTGATAGTGGCACTATCACAAAAGCAAACAGTCAATTACTAAATGCCCAATAAGCTAGAAATTTTTGTTGCACTGGCCTTTGAGGTACACGTATTTTTTTTATCTTTCTCTCCTTTTTCTGTTTCCACAGACTACTGCTCCAAATTATACCACTGCGTGTCACCACACACTTTACCACAATCCATCTCGCACATTTTACATAATTTTTGTATTTTCACTCTCCTTCCAGTGCTCATCCAAAGATACTGTTAGGACTCACTATCTTATCTTTGATCTGTGTTCATAATGGGCATTAAGGTACAGACACCTGCAGCAGCCAATGCAAGAAAAGGCACCTTCAGTTTCTCTTATCAGAGAAAATTACTTTTTTAGTTTTCTGGTCATACAGAAGTATCAAGCTTTACCAAAGGAAACATCATTCTAAATCACTGAGGGTTTTGTTCTAGTTTTCTGATTTCTGAGTTTAAAGTTTCTATTTCTTTTGCAATGATTGAACTGGAAGCCAATAAAATAATTCTAGATTAAGAAAAATTGTTTTGCGTAAAAAATTAAAAGTCGTCTCCAGAGTACTCCCAAAACTTTTAAAATTGTTTTTTAAAAGAATCATAGAAAAGTTAAGATTTAAAAAAAAAAAAATAAAAATGTAGAGACTAGAAGCCTCTTTGAATAGAAAACACTGAAAATGCAGCATTCAGATAAGGTTAAAAAAAAAAAAAAAAAAAGATACAAGGAATATGCTTGTGCTGTATTACAAAAGGCTCCACACTGACTCACCAGTCCATCAGTTCTCACTTAATTGTATGACAAGGACATTACAATACAAATCCCTTCGAATTCTTTATCCAAATCTAACATCAGTTGCAAATTTACAGTGAACTCATTAATAAATTGCTCCTAGAAAAAAAAAATTGGGTTTTTAACATGTCTAATAGAAGAAATATTATAACGTTACTCTACCTGCTAGTTCACATTTAATGCATATTCAGTAGGAGGAGGAAGAGAGCTGTTATGTGTGAGGATAAAAGATAACAAGCTCTGCCAGCTGTCTCCACTACATGCTACAGTTAAGCTGCAAACTCCTCTGCTCCGAGATCATACTTGTAATCCACTGAACACTGTAAAGCAGGATGAGGTACATCTTCCTTGTTGGGGATCAAGCAGGTTTTTCAAGAACTTTTGACCACCTGTTTGGTTGCTGAAATGCACCTTAGCAGAATCCAGCAAGACACACAAGTCCCAGGTTGTAACTGTAAATTTGCCCATCAACATGTGTAACAAATGATTTCTCTACAAAATTAGTTTGGCACACTTACCTGTCAATATACAGATGAGAGCAATGGTGTCAAGATGATCATCAGAATCTAGCGGTCTCTCATCTCAGATTCCTGCAAAAAATACAGAAAGACATAAAGAAGATTGACAGGTAGAGAAACAAATTCAGTGACCTAACGACCACCCTGTTTAAAATCTATAAAGCAGAAACCCTTGCAGCACGAAGGGGATTTTCATGTGTTAGTCTGCAAGAGATAAAGGAAGTTTATCACATTGCAATCTTCCAACATATTCATCATGCTGCAACACAAGTATTATGCATAGCTTTGCAAGAGCAGAGCCTGATGTAACTTCACTCACTTCAGAGAGCTTCTGGCAGCATGAAGTCAGTATTAAGGCAAAAATAGGCTCTTTTGGTAATAAGGAAGGACATAATTTCAGGCCAAATCTGACAGAAATTGAAAGATGTTGCTCTGCTGTTTCCCACAGACATCCTCCTTGACTTAAGTCCTGCCAAAGCACTGGACATCCTGGTCATGCATTTGCTGAACAGCCCAACTTTGAGTAGCAAGATGCTTGTTTCTTCCCCAAGTCCACCTGAGATCCAGAAATTATGGTCTGACATTTCCAGCCCTCCAAAGAGATTCCCCAAATTAGCAGACGTGTTCTGAGCATCACAGTCCAGCTGTTGGCACAGTAAGGGATAGCCTATAGCTGGATAACTGGTAAGCTCTGAAGTGTGCACAACTAGAGTCAGATTTTATTGCTTTCATTAGTGGGTAGAAATTCATGCTGAAAAAAGTCTTGCCTAACATGTATTTCCTCCTTTTACAGATATAAAAAAGAGAAGATCCAGAGATTTCCATCGCAAAATCAAGTTTGACAAACTTTTTTTTTACTTTTTGGTGTACTCTGGTGTACAGTACTCCATCAAAACGCAATACTAGATTATGTTACATCTGTTACTTCTAACCACATTAAGAGGTCGAAACAGGCACTCTCCATTAGACAGAAGAAAAGTGTAAAGCAGTCATGCAGCTCCAGAAAAAATATAGAACATGACCATAAGCGAAACTGGAATTACACAAGGATAATTCTGTGAACATCACTGGCACCACTCCATTTACTCCAATAGAAATAAAAACCAACTTCACCTCAAATTCACCCCTCCTTAGCCTATGCTTTATCAGACCCTTCCTACTGTGCACATTCAAGTAATAGTTAATGCCAATATGTACATGCATACCGAAACATTTAAATATACTTTCAGTGCATTTAAGACCATTCTTTATTTTAAATAAAGATAGGTTTGTTTATTTTTAGTAAAATATGTCAAAGTCTATCCAAAAAGTTTTGAATAAGAAGAAAATACTTACAAATCTGTCTCCAGCACCTGCATAATTCTGCACAACTATCTTACAGCAGCAACAAAAAAAGCTATTGAAGGACATTTCCCACACTGAACTACTGTATTGTATATCATATAGAAGTAAGCTGCATTTGACATTAAACCTAGTAGGTTTTCCATTTTTAGAGCAGGAGATATAAATATGATCTCCACGATCGTGAAGGTCACAGGAAAGGTAGGTAAGGAAAGATCATCAGCTTTCTCACATGGCAAAAACAGAATCCACACAAGGAAAGAAGTCAGCAGACTAAAACCAAAGCAAACTCAACTAAGTAACCTGAGAGGGTTCTTAATCTCTGAGAATAGGGATAAACTGCTTTCACTTTTGAACTCTCTCTTTTACATGCACCAACTTTCAGTTTCTAAATGGATCCAAATATAGAGGAGGAAGAATTACCTGGGACTGGCTACATCCATCACAGAATAAACTTTCCAAAATTTCTCACAAATGCTAACACATCTGCTCTACATATTCCAAAAACAAGCTTGTTCTGTTTTAGAAAAGATTTATAACTTGGTCAGTTGTGGATAGATATTGCTAAGATTTACTAAAGGTGTATCTGCAGCAATAGTCTGAACCTTAAACAAATATTTTGGGATCTTGTCAGTAAACAAATAGCAAAAGCAACATGAATGTTAAACATTCAGCTGCTAAATACCCCACACAAATAAAGCCTACAGAAACTCACTGCAGAGAATTTTGCACTCTATCGTGGAAGACAGGAGAATGCCAGCAGTTTGCTCTGTGTGGAGGCCTAATTCTTCTATTTAAAAAAAACCACCCAGTAGCATGACACCATTTTGTAGTTTGGATGTTAACTTATTTTTCACAGTACTCTCCAGAGTTAACCCTAAGGATAAAAAAAAAAAAAAAAATGTGAAAAATAGTGGCTTGCCAAGAGCTAGGAAGAGCTTTTTAAATGAGAGTATTTGTGTACTGCAAATTCATTGAAAACAAATTAAGTGGTGCCGATACTGGCTTCTTAATGAGGCTGGGTGAGGTTGCACAGCCAAGAAAGACACCACTGTTGGAAAAGTGAGCAACTGTCCTCTCTTTTGTTTCTGCAAAAGGATTCTCTTAACACCCACATGCAGACCAAAATTCCTGAGTCCACCCAAGATCCTGTTTTTTTCCTCTCCTCAAGGCACCAGATCAGTAGAGCAGAAGCTCCTCTTTACCTCAGAGCCTCCGATGCACCCTTAAATGAATCTCTGTGCCACAAAATCCCACATTACTCACACAGTCCTACTACTTCCTAACGCAACAGGTTTCTCTTCTAGAGGTTGTTCTCATGTGTGGCTGGGTAAGAGAGCACGGCCGTGCATAGGCTCATCCCTCAGGCAACACACCACACACAACAGGCACCATGCCTCTCCTTCCACAGGAGCTCTGGTGTGGGTCTCTCCTACACCAAATCACCCATTTTTAACATGTTTGTAGAAACGTAAGACTGCCAGAAATTTCTGTTCCTTTCAAAAAAATTAGCTGAAGTTGAGGAGTAAATTCAAAAGCCACTGGGAAGTAGAAGGATAATGATAAGGAGGGGAGAAAAGACTGACAGCAGCATCACATAAGCCATTTTCCTTATCAAATCAATCTAAAAAACACCAAACAGTAACTCCAAGCCAAAACAGAGACAAATGGTACAGTTAGTTATTTTCACGTGATTCAGTGCTGTACACTGAAGAGATCTGACATTTTTGCAGTGTGCAACGTAGCAACAAAAACTTGGTTCAGAGAGCAGTATAGCTGCAACCATGCAGTATTTATAGTCCTCTCTCAGTGTCTCTCTGCTGCTCCTGTCCCCCTGGTGAATTAGCCGGGATGCTGCCCCCCAAGCACCATGTGCTGCAGCTGCTTCCACTGCTGGAGCAAAGCCTTCACCTTCCCAGCCTGCTGCAGAATAAACATTCCCAAAAGGACACAGGTCAAACCTTCCCTCAGATTTGGCAAGTTTCAAAATTAGAAATGTTCCAATATTGGTATGAATTTTAACATGTGGAATGAAAATGTCAACTTTTTCACACTCTCTGTTTTCATGGTAATATGTACATTTAATGAGAATCTTATATACAGGAAGATAACCTTGTTTGCAGGCATTTCTCTGTGCCGGGTTGCAGACCTAAGAACATAAAAGTTACTAATAAGAGCAAAGCTCAAGCAAATTCAACTACTGAGTAGATAAGACATGTCTATAAACTCCTTGGCAGACAAACATGCATTTATTCTGCCAGTATTCTGACTCACACAAACACAAGTCAACAAAAATCATACAACCATATTGGCAAACTCAAGAGAATATTTCTGCATAACTTCCCAACGCTATTTCAATGCCAGAGGGCCCCAGTTTCTGTTTCTGAACTGGCTCCCAGCCGACCAGCCAGCTTATCTGCACAGATGTCTGCACAGCCATAGACAAATATCCATCTCTGGAAATTTATGGGGATGGCACAGAAAATGGACATACTGAAACACTCAATGATTAAGCATTTTGGAGCATTCAACTACAGGATTAGCACGTTTTAATTAATATTATTTAAAACGACACATTTCATTCATTTATCCCTAACTTTTCTGCACACACAGCCCCTACAATCTTAATGCTATCACAGCATCCTAAATGTTTTCTCTATTTTCATGTACACAAAAATGTCATCAACCTTGAAGACCCTTTTATTTGAACATAAGTTCACATTACTAGCAGCTTCTGAAATCAAAGATAATTTATACATCATGTCTAGAGAATATGAATACCAGAAGGGTTCACATGACTACAGAACACCTTACATGACCCAGTTTAGTAAAAAACCACCAAAGCAGTGCAGTTATGCTACATGCAAGTACTAACTGCTGCTTTAACAGTACACTCATACAATTTATAGACAGCTGAAGGCACTTTGCACTGTAAGGCTCCAGGCAGTCCATTAGTTTAGTAATACTCAGAGACTCCCAGACGTCTTTAATACTAATAGACCCCAAACACACACACTGAATTCTGCACTTTTTTCCCATGTTAAATCAAGAGCTCAAATACTGAGGTAAGTACTAGGACCAAGGCTTGGGTCTCTGGCACATATGCACATGATGGATTCAAATGCTGCTTGAGAGAGACTTAATAAGCAAACCTGATTTGATTCCAGCTCAGCAACGAATAAAGCGACAAGCTGAAAAATTAATTTAGCAAGGGAAAAGCTATTTGAGACTTTGAGGGACTACTATCATCTAATTCTGCCACGATATAAAGGCAAAGCAAATAAAGTCTCTTCACAAGGTCGAAATGCAAACAGAATCAGGAAAACAGTTTGAGAAAGTGGAAAAATGGCTATTTTATCCATCAGGAGAGACCATATTTGGGCATATATTTAAAATTCAGAACAGAAAGCACTCCACATGGACCTTTTTAGAACTAAATATGAAGTCTACAGCTGTTTGAACACTTACTGAAATGAATTCACGTATTTGTGACTCTTGGTTTTTTGCTATGCTCGACTACTCTAATCTTGTTTTCCTCAGCAGTCTAAACGTAACGGCTTAAATGCTTGTATATTGTGTGGTAGCAGAGAATGGTCTTCAAATATGCCAGATGCTTTGGAGCTTCAGATTATTCATTACTTATGGCAGCAAGTTCATGCTAGCAGCAAAAACAAAAATGTAATTCCTGTCCAAAACCAGACAATATAAATATGTACTGTTAATTTCATATA